GGATTCTTCTGTCTATGTTCATGTACAGGTATAAGTTCCTTGTGATGAATATGATCATAATGTATATATAAACTGTACCAAGAGCCTAAAAATATGAGCTCACAATTCAGAATTTCAAAACAATTATATTGATAGTTCACCTTGAACAAAAAGTTGAATACACACAAAATAGTGTTATATTAACAAGCATTGCATATAATAAATATATTTGAAAGGATATGCAATGTTTAAAGTTATTAAATTTTCATAATGAAGTAAAGCTATAATTCTTGAAACAAAAATATATATGACTAAAGGATTGTACCTGAGGTCAAAATGTTTACATGCCCTTGTACTATTCAGAAAGAATGTAAAGATATGCATTAAATTAATAACTTTACTTCAAATATAAATATAAAACAAGAGAAACAACTGAAAATAAAAATACTGTACAGTATTCTAGAGTACAAGGGGAAAGGCAGAATTAAGAGCACATTAGTGTTTCAGGAGATGGTGGACTCTTAGAAGAGCTACAAATTAAGTATAAACTTGTGCATACTTTAAACACTCATTAATTAATTTGACTTGAAATATTTACTGAATGTTTGTTATATAGACACACTCATAAGAACTGTTCACATAGGTATTCTTGTTACATATTGTCCCATAGCAAACCACTTCAATCTTAGTACCTTAAAATAGCATCAGTTATTGATTTTGTTTGTGGTTTTATATTTGGGACAAGATTTGATCACTACTTGATGGAACATTCTCAGGGCAATTTAACTGAATGCAGGATGTCCTTACCTAATATTATTCACTCATATTTCTGTTGCGTCTGGCTATAAGGTATAGCTGAAGGGCAGGTGTCTTTGTTCCTTTCTACTTGGATTTCTCCATGTCATCCAGGCTTCCTCACAGTATGTGGGCAGTTAGGAACACAAGTTACATTTCCACAAAGCAGGACAGTCACAGAGTCAGAGGTCATACATAATCATGCAATAATCCTCACCTACCAAAGTTTTAATAGTCAAGGTAGTTGCTCAAGATCAATGAGAAGGCAGACTACAGTTATGAGTAGGGAGGAAAATAAGCTATAGGATAGAATGTGATACAGGTAGTACTATTTCCACCATTTTTGTAAAGTTCATTGTGACACATAGGTTGTGATAGACAACTGGATACAAGGACCTAGAGATAAGCAGAAATGTTTTAATTTCATGGTACAATTTGGGGATTCCTGAGCAAATAGATTATAATTAAAGTCACAAAATTAGATGAGCTCACCTATGAAATAGAGTGAAAATGTGAGAAAGTAGAGAAGGAAAAGTTTTGATGTGCACTAACGATAAAAGAGTAAACATCAAGAAATGCCCAGCTACCTAAAAGCATAGGTAGTTGTTAGAACACAAAGCAGGGAAACTTTGGAAAGAAAGTATCAAGAAGATCCCAACACAACAAGATACCTGTAAGGTAGGAGCAAAATCTAAGAATTACAATGCAGTTTAGTCATTAATTAAGTTGATGAAAGTGGATTGGGTGATGGGGAAGTATAGGACCGAGACACCTTGGAATTTTGGAAACAGACAATTACTTCGAAAGGGAACTGTGAACAGATAGCAAGAAATAGAGGAAACATCGGGTTAAAAAAGTTCTTTGCTTTAAAAAATGAAAGAGTTGAGCTTAGAAAGCAGTTAGAGGAAGGCATTTAAGAGGAGGTAAATTGGAGGTACAAGAAAGGAGGAGGAGGACGGTAGAGGGAAGAGTGGTTAGATTCCTTTGGACCACCCTGCAGCGGTTGTGTCAAATTCAGCACATCTCTTGATAAGATAGTCTCTCTCAACTTGAAAATCACTGAGCTAAGAAAATGTCACTTGATTTGCATGTGATATTGGGCTAGAAATCATCAAAAATTGTATAACTTCGTTCAGCATCTGGAATGTGGTACTGGAATGAAACTGACTGATTACCTGATGAGAAGCCATATTTCATTAATTGATGCGATCAGTTAAATGATGAATGGTTTATTGCCACGTGTTTATATTATGTATTTATTTACATAATACAAGACCCAAGTGATCTCATTAGTGAAGCAAAATATAGAATATGCACTTCAAATTATGATTGGATTATTTCAATGAATGGTTTTTCCTGATTACTGTTTGTATCCCAAAATACATATCAATCTAATATCATTGCATCTACTCAGTGACTAAGCACTAATTCTTGTTTATTTTGTCATTTTATATGTGACAGTGGGAAAGCTGAATTTATTCTCCTTTTATATAATCTGAACACATTTTATTCAGTTTAGTTTACCCTCACTGATTTATCCATACATTTATATGGTCTAATTGTTTGAATAATAATTTATATGCTAAGCAACAATAGGTGACAAGGGAAATAGCCAAGCAAAATTGTAAAAGGTCTTCAAAAGCTAGATTATAATAAATGTGAAGATAGTTATGCTTTTAAATTTAAATACATTAAGTAAATAAAATATTGTTCAAAGTATCACAGTAAGATAATAACATTGAGTAATTACCTGACAACCTACTCTCATACAAAGAAAACTCAATAATCCTTACCTGGCAAGTATCTAGGTTAAATAGAAAACACTGTTTTAAAGAACAATACCACATCTGAAAATCTGCAAAAGGAAAGCAAAATGTTAGTGACAGACTACAACCAGAAGCAATGTTAAGTAGACTGAGATGCATAATTTCAAAATAAGTATGTAAGAATGGAGGTAGAGTAGCAGATAGCAATAAAAATTAAAAAGCAGATATGCACAATGATGCAGATGAATGAAGATGTGTAAATACCAGGAGATGTATCCGAAGATGATTAAATATCAGAAAGAATTCAATTTAATTTGTTGAGGCCCTGTAGAATAAACTGAAATGAGCTAAATACCTTAGTAAGGCTCAGAAGAGTGGGAAGTCATAATGATTACCACGAAAATTATGTAGCAAGAATATGCAGCAGAAGGACTTTTTGCACAGTACTTTAGTTGTTTTTTAACATTAGATGTTGGTCACGTTCTCATCACTAGGACATGACACTTGACACAGCTCAAGAGGGAAACTGGCTCATGCTTTAGTCCATAGTTCAGCAGCTCCAAGACAGGAAGACACAGTGGAAAGGTCTGGCAGAAAAAAGTTGCTCATGTCATGGAGGCCAGGAAGAAGAGAGCAAGGAGCTGAACTAGGGAGGGAGACACACCTGATCAGGTCACGTGCTCGGGCCTCAGTTACCTGCCTCCTCTAGGTGCCACCATCTCCCGAGAACAACTCAGCTATAGCACCCCCATAATTCAATCATATTCCAAAACCTCCACCTCTATATGCTTGAGGCATTTAGTGGTATCCTAGATTTAAACCATATCAATTACTTAGTAATTATTACTTTTTACACAAACATTTTTACAGAGATAGTTGCTCAGTCTCTGAAGTGGATGAAAGCAGAAATGCTTTGGGATTTTTTTGAAAGAGAAAGTGTAGCAGAAGTGATCCAGTATTGCCCACTTAATGTTATCTCACCAGTACTTCCCATGGAAAGCTACCCAAGTCCTCCTGGTGAAATCAGATTCCTGGAAAAACATTGGAAACTAAAACATGAAATTAATATGGCGTTACTGTGTAATACAGAGTGAGACTGTGTAAATTGAATACTATAGATGAGCAAGTTAAAGTACATGATTTATAAATCCTGTTTGCTTATATTTTCTTGAACAAGTATTAAAATTTTGTGTAGTTTTTGGCACCAAACTAAAGGTCAGAAGTTCAGATTTGAATTCCAAAGTGCTTCAACTCATTTTTTTTTCAGTACAATAAAATATACATCATTTGAACCAGTGTCTCAATGTGTAGCTCAAAGATAGAACACCTGCTTCACATGTACAAAGCCCTGGGTTCAAAGCTTAGCACCAAAAAGCAAAAAGCACATTGAACCAAATTATTTGCCATGCAAAGTTTGAGAATGGCTAACAATTTGCATAAGAACCCAGAGAACAAGAAAATATGAAAGTATGAAGGACCGAAGCAATGTTAGGATGTAGCCTAAGAATAAAGAATTAATACAAATACATCCAAAGTGGTGATGGAACATTTGTGAGGTTAGGGTCTAATACACCTACTTGCTTTACTAGATCAACAAATGCAATGGTAATTCATGCAGTTAACTAACATATGGATTGAATTGCATTAAAGCTCAAGGTTCTCAATGGTTAAATTGTATTTCTTTTATCTTACAAAAGAGGTATAGACAATCACATCATCAGAACAAGACTTCCACACCAGTCTCCTGAAGTGACCAGTTCTGCTTCCTGGAGTTACATAGAATTCAAGTTGGATGTTCTTCTTTGATAAATTTCTTTATAAATCTTATTATGATTTCTATCCACATAAATAGTATTTGTTAAATAGAATCTAAATAGAATCTAAATAACATAGAATCTAAAGAACTCTTTTCTTGGTTGTAGATGAACTACTGTATTTTATCCTCTAATATTATTTTTCAAAACAGAAATATTTAAACTATAATTATACATACAAAAATTTGAATTAAAATCTGCCTTGAGAATAGAGAAGATAGCATATAGCCTGTGAAGATAGTAATTGAAAGGTGTCTTCAGTTACCACTCAAAAATTCAAAAGTACATCATCGTATTTTTGCAGGTAGGATGATAAACGGTAAAATTTAGATGTAGCACACATAAAAGTCTCTAGCATAGGAATTCTCACATTGTACGGAAGGCTATGCATGACTTAATTTTAATCTAATTTCAATTTACTTGAAAATGTCTTCTTAATTTGAGTGATCAGCTTCAGTCAATGCATGGCTTTGAGTACAAACTCAAACATTTATTGTGAATGTACAACTGATTGTATATTGAACTTTTTATCTTACATTGCTAACATCAGTGATTCATTTTTCCCCCACAGGATAAAGATTCCCAACTCAAGAATTGTAAAGTGTGCTAACAGTTTTTTTTTTTTTTTTCCTTTTTTGCATTTCAGTCTGTTCCCAGTACTCTAGAGGAGTATTTGCCATTTTTGGACTCTATGATAAGAGGTCAGTGCATACCTTGACCTCCTTCTGTAGCGCCTTACACATCTCCCTCATCACACCAAGCTTCCCTACGGAGGGGGAGAGCCAATTTGTGCTGCAGCTAAGGCCTTCACTACGAGGAGCCCTCCTAAGTCTGCTTGACCACTATGAATGGAACTGTTTTGTCTTCCTGTACGACACAGACAGGGGTAAGTCCAAATTCCCGTCTACGGCGGGGAAACTCTGACTGTCAATGTGAAATGGCCTCGTATTACTTCTGTGATTTAGCCAAAATATGTTGATCCTTATTCTTGCTAAAATCAGAAAGTAGTTGATGTGTTTTATCAGTATTTTATCCTGAGTCTGGGGAGAAACTTCTAATTGAAGAAAAAACAACTTTTAATTCATAAAGTTACATGTGAGAAAACATGCTCTGTAACTTTGCTGAAATTAAGATAACTGCATGGAGAGCAAACCAAACCAAGATGTCGTTTCTGCTCTCACGTCAGACATGTTCTGCTGCTTCTCCAGATATGTGGACTTTTTCCCACATGCCCAGCCACCAAACAATCCTGTGGTTAATTCTCCAGTAGACACCAGCTAGGTGTCCTCTAAGTTAATTCAGCCCTGCTTTATCTACCCGAAGATAACATCAGATACCACTGATTTAGGGCTCAGTCCCTACTAGACAGCCCCCACTTCAGATGCCAAGCTGTCATTTCATCTGTGTGTTTGAATGAATGGCTGCATATCTGAGCTCCTTGGGTTCCACTGGTTTGCTGAATCAACTTACAGAACACAGAACGCAATTTATGTTTGTTTCTTTATTAGGAAAGATGTTACAAAGAATACAGATGAACAGTGAGTGGAAAACACGCACTGGGTGCGTGAAGAACTGTCATGCCCTTTCTGGGCGATCACCCCTCTGGAACTTCCTTGTGTTCAGCTGTCCAGAAGTCTTAAAAAACTCTATTCGCTAGGATTTTGTGGAAATGTCATTTTATAGTCATGATTGACTACGTAATTGGCCCCTGATAATCAGCTTTCTGATGTTTTTCCTTCTACAAGAGTAGAGCTAAAAGTTCCAGCCCTCTAATCATGCCTTGATCATTCCAATAACCAATCCCAATTTGAAGCCTTTTTTGGGAGGGGGTAATCATCTCATTACTGTAAACAGGTGTGGTGATGGACTCTGTGATCCCAGCAGTTGAGAGGCTGAGGCAGGAGGATCATCATGAATTTGAGGTTAGCCTGGACTATATAGGAGTTCAAGGCCAGCCTGGACTACATAGCAAGACCTTGTCTCAAAAAAACAAACAAACAGAAAAATGAAGATTAAAACCTTATACAGTACATTTCACAATTTCACAGCAACTTCTCTTTTAAAAGTCTTTGTGATGACATTTCAGGTGCAATCATAACTTAAATAGGTGTTCTACTTCGCATGCAGATGAGTTAATGTTTTAGAAGATCTTAGTATCAAATTGAGCCAGAATGGGGACTGTAAGTGCAGGTCTTACGTGAGTAACCAAAGGGCCCTGGCAGTAGTGATACCGGCTTGGTGGTAAGGCTGCTTTCCCATAACCTTTCATGTCTTATTTATCTATCATACCGAGCACACTATAAATAATACAAATGGACCTGTGTGTAGAAGGGGCAAGGTGAATAACTAGCATGTTACCTATGACAACCCATACAGCAAAAATCTGTGCAGCTTTTGTACAGTGTCTGAAGTAGCTTGGTCTGCTTAGGCATTTCTTCAAGAGTTCTCATAAATATTTTTTTTCATTTTTCTTTTTTCTGTTGTGTCTTTTATTTAGTGACAGAAGCATAGCAAAATATTGTATTTCAAAATGGACATTAGGAGGGGCTGGGGATTTAGCTCAGCAGCACAGCGCCTGCCTGGCAAGCGCAAGGTCATGAGTTCGATTCCTGGTACTGGAAAAATACCAAAAACCAAAAAAAAGAAAAAAAATGGACATTAGGGAGGAGTTGAGTAGGTATTCCTTTCCCTTGAGAGTTAGAAGTTAATCGGAATATGAGATATTATAATAAAACTGAAATAGCCAATATTTTGAGAACATCATGGAATAGACATTTATAAAGTGAATGAGAACAGTGAATATTCTCTTTTCTCATGTAAAAAGCAATGAACAAGCAGAATAAACATTTTGAGGGTATAATCCACCTTCAAATGTTCAAATTACAATCTCTTATATTCAGAAATTAAAAACTCATTAAATAAATTCTCCTTTATTCCTAATACTTAGGTATTAGATTGGAAAAGTAAATCACTGAAGATATGACACCGGTGGTTTTCATACATCACTTTTCTTAGCATTCTTCATAAATTTCCTTTTAAGAAACAAATTCTGCAGTTCAGTGTCATTGTATGTTTTCTACGAGATAGCATATGTTAATTCTTTCCTGGAAATATATGAACCTATACATATCAAATACTATTAGTTGACAATCTGAACCATTAAGAGAATATATTTTACAGAATACCATATTTCAGTTTGACTGACATTACAAAATCTTTCTATGACTAATAGTTTTCAATATAAGACAGAAACTTAGTGAAGACCCCATGCATAAATCTTTCAATGGTCGTATACACATTGTGTGGTATATGCACCTGCATATCCCTTTTCATCCTAATGTGTAAGTGCTTCTCCAGTAATTCTTATGTCATAATATCATATCACATTTTTGCTATGTTTTGTTTAGAACAGTGACGCCTTATGTGCATGCTAGAAATATAAATAAATTAATGAGACAAACAAGGGAAGTCCTTGACAATGTGACCAAAAACTTTATGGCCCTAATAACTAAAATCATTTAATTCATTTTTGATTAAAGGTGCCATAATTTATAGATCAAATAGTTAAGAGCCAGCACACAAAACTCACCTTGAAGAATATTACTTGATTTAAGGGCAATTTTTTGGAATGAAAAATGCTGAAAGCTACCAGTATTTAGACTTAATTAAATTTGAATATTTAATAATCTTTCAAAAAAATCAAATTTTCTGATAAAGTACAAACTGAATTTTTAAAATTCTAATTGACATAATGTCCTTTTTCTTGAGGAGAAAAAAAACATTACTTGAATATGCATATATAAGAAATGATTATTTTCTCTTCTGAAACACATCTTTATAAGGAAATGTATTTTTACTGTTTCTATTTGCCCAGATCTTTAAATGTTTATGATATGTTTTCGACCATTCCTAACATCATAGGTAACAAAGCAAGTTTTTGATTAAAAGAAAGATGAAGAGAAACAATCCTATTGTTTTCAAATTCTAATGATTGCTGATGGTATTTTTCAGAACTGTTATGATGCCAACAATTTTGATCTTTTGAATAACATCCGCAAGGGCTGGCAAACAGCTTGTTTTAATTAACCTTAGTTTTCTTAACTCATAATTTTCAGTGTTGTTGGAATATTAGTGGCTTCCAGACTTATGGTTTCATTTCAGGGGTTGTTAAATATCTCCCATTCCATATCATATAGTGCAATATTATATAAATTGTTACTAGGAGAGATATATTTGGCAAAGTGTGGAGCGGAAAATTTTCCTTTGGTTTGTGTTGGCTTGTTTCCTTTGGGTTGTTGTGTTTCTTGTTAGCGTTATTTTTAACAAGAATATATTCTACAGATTGCATAACATACCTTAAGAAGCTTAGGGAATTATGTCCTGGATAGCAGAACAAGTCGATGCTGCTGCTGTTGCAGAGGGAGATACACCCCACCAAGTCCTGACCCCCGTGACCAGCCTCTTCCAGCCAGACCCCACCTCCTACTGTAACAGGAGTCAGCTACATCACCCCCGTGATTCAGTCAGCTTCTGAAAGCCCTGCCCATGAGGCCTTTGGGGGACATTCTTGCTCTAAACCATGACATCTTTATATGTCCTGTGTCTCTTCCCTTGTGGGAAGAGGCAAAGGGAAAACAAGGTGCAGCTGTGTGTGAGGCACATTCACCGCGGCACATCTCAGATGCTTCTGGGAGTCAACACGAAGAAGTGCTAAAGTCTAACAAGGACCGCCGGACAAGGGGATTGAGCAGAAAGTAATGATGAGACGCTAAAACAAAGATAGTAAAAGGAAGAAGCAGGCAGAGCAAGCAGGAACAAAAGAAGCTGTAGGTTGGCAGAATAGAAAATTCTGGAGATGGAAGAACAGAAACTTGCAGATGGCTTAGTGGCACAGGAAGCCTCGCAAAGGATTGTGGGAAAGATTGAACAGGCCTAAATGGGATGGTAAGGAAAAAATGAATGTCGGTGATGGATCAGTTTAGTTGTCATTACAAGGCACAAGGTACACATTGCTGACTGACAGATAGGTCACCAGGGTGGCTGTCCTTTCCTACTGAGAGAGTTTAGTCACTGATAAGAGATCTGGACAAGGCCCTTAAACCTCCTACTTACTGGAAAGGTGTTTGGACCCTAACCCATCAAAATTCCAAATTCCAACAAGTTAATTAACAAATGACTGTATAGAAAGCTAACAGAGTTCTGCTATTTCTCCTATTAACTATTTTGATTATTTTTTAAATGTTAAATTTGGAGAAATAATTTTTTCCTCTGCTAGAGTCCCTAGCAGACACTGAACTTGTCAATTGAATTATTCAACCATGTCTGAATTTTAAGAACAGGAGAACTGCTTCTTAACAATCGGTGGGTTGATAAAACAGGGAGCTAATGCTTTAACAATTTTCTTATCTGAAAAGGACAAAGCTGCCTAAGCTGTCTCACCTGTTCCGTATTTTCAATGACCCTGGTCTTTCCACAGCAGTAAGGTTTACAAATGATTCATGATTTCCTGATGAGTTTTATTTTAGAAATGTTTCTTCTCTGAAGATCTATGGAAAAAATCCCTTTAGACAGCTGATTGAAAACATTATCTCAATAATTTTTCTTTACAAATATAACACAAGCATGTGCAAGATTTTGACAATTAAAATTAAAATACAATGTAAACCATGTCATAGGTTAAGGTTTACTCAATAATGTGCTTTATAAATTATTCATGCTGTTACAACAGGTAGATATTAGGACAAAGGAAGGCAGTACCTTGCTATCCATTGAAAAGAATTCTAAATTCCCTCTAATGGGAGCTGTCAAATACATGCCAATCCTTTGCCTGTGCAAATAGAAATTTTTAGCTCTGTAGTCCAGATGGTATCTGTGTAGAATAACTGC